GAAACCGTGGTGAGCTTGAGGCTGCTATTGGTGCCGTGATCTCTGGGTTGGATGGAGCTATGGCGCAGGTTGCTCACATGCCAGTGGTGCATCCTCACATTCCGTCGACCTATGGCATTTTGAGATCAATGCTCAATTTTTACCAGTCGTTGCAGACAACTTTGCGTTACCGTGCGGTTGGCGCGTACCCGTTCAACCAGCTGCGCTTACCGAGGATGACCTCCGCATGCCGACGGAGCGTGAGCGACCACATCAGTGGCCAGGCGCTCTAGCTCAAACGCCCATTGCCGTGATCCAGTCACTGCGCACCCATTTGTTCGCTAATCTGTCAGTTGGTAACCTTATAGGCCGGACCAGCATCTGCCGCCTGGGTTCGAGTACCAACCAAGAGTGCGAACGTTTCGTGGTGTTGATGACTTGCCAATCCTTGATGGCGTGAACTTGTCGGAGGAGCAAGTTGGACAGATCTACCCTGCTGGGGTGGACATTGTTGGTCCCTCTGGATTCATGGGGGCGAGAGCAGGCATGGTGTCGATAAGGCGCGTGTTTCGCCAGCCCACAGAGTCTGTGTTGCCCGAGACGTTGCCCGCGTTTGGTCATACGGTTGAGCAGGATGATGAGCTCATGGGACAGATGCCAGCAGCGGTCGAGGCAGATGCGACAGGAGGTCAATCCGCAAGTGCTGCGGACCCATCTTTGCTTGCAAAGCCTGTTGAACCGAGTGTCGTAAAACAGGAAGCGAAGACCGAAGGACCCCACGCCAAAGGCGAAATCCGTGCAATTTGAGAGTAAGGCAGAGGATGTTGAGCCCGAAGTTGATCAGAGCGGTGATGCCGTCATGAAGGACGAAACCACAGGCGCCGATGATCCGAGTTCCGTGAAGAAGGAAGAGCCTGTGGAGCCTGCAGAGAAGCCTAAGCCAAAGGCCAGGCCCGCACAAAAGGAGAGGATCAATCCTGGCGTTCCTGAGCCGCCGTTGCCTCCTGGCACGAGCCCTCAGGCGATACGGTCGGCTCCTGTGTTGGCCAAGAGCTCCGCTCCATCTGCCCCGAGACCTGTTGCCCGAGAAGAGGAGCCCATGTTGAATCGTGAACTATATGAGAACACCAGCCTTCCGCTGATGCCCAAGTTCCCAGAACACAACATGGCGCTGACTTCTCCTCACATCAGGTATACATATGATACCGTCCCCGTTGCCTTGCCGGAGTATGTCGTACCGGGACTTTCTGAGCATGAAGACGAGGATCCCATTCTCGAATCGTACATGCACCCTCCGACGATGGATCAGAGGAAGTTCTCGGCACGAGTCTACAAGCTGATTTCAAATAAGCAGCATAAAGCTTTGACGAAGCTCATGTTTTATGAGCGTGGAGCTGCTGCCAATGAGCTTGGCAAGCTCTTTGAGGCGAGCACGGTTGAGCTTTCCGAGAGTTTCAGAAATGCCAACATGGCATACATTGCCGAGGAGGCGAAAGTCCGGATGATTGGACATGAAAGAGTTCGCACCGTGAGGTTGACCGAGACCATAAAGAATGCGATTCCCCATGATCCGCGTCCGGATTGGGGGCTTGTTGCGTGCCTTGAGAAAGAAATTGTTTATGCAATTGGCTCCATGCGTGAGTTCGATCGGAACAACTTCCCGAGAAGTTTCAAGGCGCCCACTCAGTATAAAGAGGCTACCATTCTCCCAACCTGGGAAAGATATGGAGCGTCTGCGATCTTGCCGCTTAGGGATTTCTTGGAGTGTCTTGATCATGCCCGTGACCGTTTCCGTGTAATGAAGAATCAGGAAACCGTAGAGTTGCCAAATCAGTATGCAGCAGAGTCATACTTTGCAACTGATGATACGATTGACCTGGTTCCTGAGATTGCGATTGCTCTGATGACCGTGTTCAGACGGGATCACGGGAAGAGATTTGAAGTGTTTGTCAAGGACAACTACAAGGACTGGAAAACCAAGGAAAATGCGTATCAAATGATTGCTGGCGTGAGGTTGGTATTTGAATACGGCAGCATGCCATACGGTGTATTCCGAAAGTTTGCCATGGACGATGAGTCGGCATTTGCTAAGTTTGCCCGTGGACAAGGACCACATGCCGTGTATGTGGACGCAAACTTCCCAAAGTGGGGCTGGGGCGTGTGTTCCGCTCACGATTGGGCAAAGTACTCTCAAACGGGCGTGATAGAGATGGATAAATGGCAGAACCATCAGGTGCTGTTTCCATTTCCCCCGCTTGATGAGAGGAATACCGACTTCTTGTTGATCCCGTGAAAATTGCTCCATTCCGGAACTTCACCGCATCGAGATCGCTCGCCGAAGAGCACCGCAAGATCACATTCTTCGGTGTGCCCGCGACTAAGTCCAGTGACCATAAGCTCACTGCTGAGGCCAAGAACCGGTTCAAGCACAATGTCAGGGGGGCTCTTGTTGGTGCTGTGAGATTTGACCTTTCAATTGAGAGATTGGTTGCCAAGCTCAATGGAAAAGCGTCAACTGTTACTGTCGGTGAATTCTTCAAGGCAAATGGGGATTTCTGCCGATATTATGCGTCGCTGTTCCTAAATTGCCGAGACAAACCGTTGTCGAGTTATGTCTTCTATTCCGAGCATTGCAGGAAGGCATACCTTGAAGCCCTGTCACTGCAGGAAGTGTCTCCGGCTCAGACGGATCCAAATCAGACGCGCAACAATTGGCCCGAGTTCACCAAGTTGCACAACAAATACATCGAGATGTTGAGAAGATTTCGGATGAGATATGAACTTGGCACCGAGGCCAAAGCATTGGAGGTCTTTCGTGCGAAAATGGCTGCCGGACCAAGTGAGAAGGTCACCCGAGTCTTTCTCATGAATCCTGAGGAACTTTCGAAGTGGTTGAGAAAGACCGCGTTCACTTTCTGTTATGAGGTTCCTGAGTCTTCGGAAGGTCTTGAAACCGAGATCAGAGCCGTTTTGATGGAGGTTGACGATCGGACCGAGGACAAGTGGGATGACCTGGATCCTGTTGGAACTGTCAACTTGACTCCGGCCCAACGATTTGGACCCAACTTGGGCGGAGAGGACGTCACCGTGTCTCTGCCAGTGTCCGAGGAAGAGATCAACCGCGAACGCAAGAGTGCAGAGAGGTCCGTGACCCTTTCAGAGAAGTCTGAATCGATTAGGGCTGCTGAAAAGGCAAAGAAGGAGCAGGCCACGAAGAAACCTAAGTTTGAGTTTCCAAAGATTTACACGCAGCAGGATGTGCTTGCTCGATCCACCCGTGGGGATGCCTCAGTTGCCCGTGCGCCCGGGAAGTCATTGCCTGTTGTGCCTCCGACTGATATTGAAATTGCGGAAGCTGTCGAAGCTCGGATTCCTGATGAGGAGGAGGACATGCAGGGAGACACCATTACCGAGGCGCCGGCGCCGTCCATTGACTCTACCGTGAAATCCGAGGAGATTGTCATGGGTCGTGTTCCCGAGCGAAGAAAGCTTGGTGACAGGTTTTTCCGTGCAAGTGTCGTTAGTTCGCAGGTCTCGTCAAGACTGGATACCCAAGCGGAGGAACAGTTGCGTCGAGAAGAGATTGGTTGCAATCCGGATGCTGCACCGTCTGGTCACAGACGACCTCCTGGACCTGCTCAGGAAGCCCGTGGTCCCCAGCGACGAGTTCTGCCTCCTCCGCCACCACCTCCGGGAGGAGTGGAGAGAGACCGGTCTGGCGACCCTGGATACACTGCGAAGTACAGAGACGAAACTGGCAGGATGAGACTGGAGCGTCGTGAACCCTCAGCTGGTTTCGTGGACCTACCTGCGCCACCGCCCATGCCAGACGCGCCGGAGCCACCCGAGTTCGCTGTCTGGGCCGAACAGCAGAGAAGAGGCCGAGAGAAAGGCAGAAAGGGCGATGGAAAAGGCAAAACTGGTGGAAAGGGCAAGAAAGGGCGAGGCGATGGAGGCAAAGGAGGAGATGGACGAGATCGCACACGAACACCTCCGACGCGCTGAGCTGCTGCGCCATGGTGCCGAGTGCGCTGAGCCATGGCCGCCCCCGTGTAGCCATGGGCTGATCGGATGATTCCTCTTGCCGCCTCCTGGAGCTGAACTGAGAAAATGAGGCTTGTAAATACCCGCGTATTGTCCGTGTTCACCGTGTTTGTGCCGTGTCTCTTACCGTGTCATGTTTTTCACTGATGTCGTGATCAGTGCGACGAGCTTAGGTGTAGTACCGTGTCAGCCTTTACGTGCAAACATCTGACTCTCTCGGATAGCGATGGATCCCCTTATACGACCTTCTAAGATTGGCTGGGTGTCTTTCCACGCTATTCCGGGACACAGGGCGAGCCTACGGTATTATGACCTTTAACTCCGCTCCTGTCTTGACTCGCGTCGAGGGGGGTGTGAATTGTCATGTATACCTTGCCTTGTGCCGAGCCTTATGTATGCACCTGCTGCCACCTTTCTCACCTCAAGCACCGCGTAGTGCTGACCTTCTAGGTACAGCCCGTAGTCGCCCCGCACATAGGAAAAGTCTCCGTGTGACTTGGGTTGCTACTTTGGTGTACGGTTAGGTTCTGCTTCTGGGGTTGCTTTGCCTAGCTTGTTACCGCGTCTGTACTTGCCTACCCAGCACGGCCACTGTAGCTTCGTGATCGTTGACTTGGGATTGTCCTGTGTCAATTCACACAAGGTATCAGCAGGACGTCGCCGCGCGTGACGCTGTGATCTCCGAGCTAAAAGACAAAGCCAAAACGTTGTCCCAACAGAACACACATGCCGAGGTTGAGATCGAGAGCTTGCGAGAGCGGTATCGATGTGAGATTGATACTGTTGTCCGTCCGAAGGGCGCAGTGTCCAGCATTGAGGCTGTCAGGATGGAGCTTGTGGAAAGGCTGAGTGCAAATGCTCGCTTGGATGGTCATAGAGAACTGTCCATGCACATTTTCGTCGATGAAGTGCATCAATCTGTTGATAGTTTTCGGGCGTCGGAGAGAGAATCGGAGAGTCAACAACAGAGGGTGTTCTTTGAGAAAGCTAGGAGTTGACGGCTGTTGAGCAGAAGGTGGCTGAACAAGCGGCCATGGTATCGCGAGCCGAACACAATCTGAATGAAGAGTACGCTACGCTATGCAAGAGTAGACAAGACTCTGATAGCGTATTACGATCTGAGATTGAGGAGATGGGCCAAGAACGCGACAGGCTGCGTATGGAGTTCATGACTGCCACGAAACATGCACGAGCATTGAATCGACAATTGATGGACAAAATGATGAAGTGAGACGATTGAGAGTAGCTTTACAAGAGCAAACAGCGCACCTTCAGTGAGTTCGCGGCAGCATGTCAATTCACCTGACGATGCAAAAGAGCAGAAGCTGAAGGCATTGAGGGCAACAGCACGTGGTCGCAGAAGAAAGGGTTGCGAGTACGCAACGCACGGCGCTGCCATCCATGTCTCCATTCACCGAGCTCGATGTCTGCGCCATCCTCCGCGCGCGGTGTGGCCCCGCGCACGAGCTCGTCCCAGGCGGGGGGCTCGTTCCAGCCTGCGGCCACGAGCAGTGACCTGCCGTCGGCCGCCTCCCGCAGACAAGCAGGGGCGTGTTCACCGGACAGGGCTCGCAGCGTCCATGCGGCAAAGGCAGGGCTGCTCCTCTCCTCTCCTCTCCTCTCTGGTGCCCTTGTCCGCCTGCCCATTTGGGGCAGCATCACCGGCTCCATCATTCCCAGCATTGTTGGCGCCACGTCCATCATTCGGAGCACGCCCGAAGGAAGAAAGCTGAAGTATTCCCACATTGCCTTGATACTGGGAATTAGTGATAGTGTCAAACAACGGAGCTCCTGCGCTTGCTAAGACCGAATTAATTGCTGAGTTGGTGTGAAACGTCCCCCCTCCACTCAGAAGATCTTGGACAGAATCACCCCATTTTACTGCACGTGACGACGATGCCGAAGACGACTTGTTGTCTTTACGCGCCAATTCCTTAGCACGTTTCTCTTGGTTTGCCAACTCTGCATTTAGTTGTTCCACACATGATTCTTGATCACCAAGTTGGCGGCTAAGAGTAGCATTCCTTCTTTCATTGGACTTGCACGCGTTCTGCCAATCCTCCACGGCGGACTCCGGCCTCCCGTGCGATGCTGCGCTTGCAAGCGGGCCCGCATGCGGGTGCTTGGCTGACGGCCATCCCGAGCGACCCTCACACGTCGCTCGCCCCGGACGTCATGCAGATACTCGGCCGCAGGCGACGGCTCCCGCCGCTGGCACCGGCCACTTGTGGTGACCGCGGTGTGCCTGGCTGCGGGCAGCGTTCGGACGCACTTGGTGACCACCCCCTGGCGTGCCCTCGCACAGGCCTGCTCGCGACGAGCAAAAATCGTCGAGAGGGCGTGGTGCCGAGTCGCCCGCGAAGCCGTTGGTCCGGAAGGGCATGTGGTGCCCCAGCAAGGGCTCGCACACACCACCGGGCCCTGGCGTCGCTTCAGATGACCGCCGCCGGCTCGACCTCGTGATTTATGGGGCGACGCCGCTGGGAGGGGCCCATCTGTTGCGATGCCACCCTGGTGTCGCCACTTCGTCGTGATGGTACCCCGCATGCTGGGGCCCCTGCTCGGGATGGGGCCGTGTTGCAAGTGGCAGAGCGTCGTAAACGAGTCACCTTCCCCGAGCTCGCCCAAGGGGGCGCTCAGTCCCTCTGCGTGCTCGGATGCGAAACGTTGGAACGCCTCAGCAAAGTCGCTTGTGCGGCGCTTGGTCGCTGCCGGGCCCCACCGGCCATGCGCGGCCCCGCCCGAACAGCTTGGGGCGAGACGATGGTGGAGCGTGCTTTCATCGGCCACACGGCACTAGGCCGAGCACGTGCTGCGCCCGGGCCAGCGCAGAGTCGGGCGCCGGACTTGGACGAGGTGCTGGCGCTCGCGCCTGCCGACTCCGTCAGCCGGCTCCCGCTGCGTTGACTAACCGGCCCTAACACGGGACCGCGCGATAGGAGCCGACCACCAGGATTCCGAAACAGGCAGGCGCAAAAAGGTGCGTGAGAAAAAAAAAAGCAGCGAGGACAGGAGAGGAAAGGGGAGACAGGATGATCCCGGACCTAGGTATCCGGATTGGTTGTACGTGTCATCAGGTCTTCTCGTTTCGTTTTTTTCTCTTCTCTCGTGTCTCCTCTCTTCTCTCCCCTCCTTTTTCTCCTCTCCTCTCACCTCTCTGCTCTCCCTGTTGTCTCGTCTCTCCTCCCCTGTTTCCTCTCTGCTATTTTCTGTGTATCGAATCCCAACGCGAACGACAGTTTTGCGTTTCATAACAACGACTCCACGATCCCTGTGACTGTTGACACCTGTGAAACGCGAAGCCCCAACGCACGACCAAAAGTGACGACAGTGGTGCGCTTCGCGATCACGATTCCCCGATTCCTGTGACTGTTGACACTTTGGAGATGCGGAGACCCGAGGCAATCCCAAAAGTGATGACGACAGTTCAACGTTTCGCGATCACGACTTCCCGATCCCTGTGGCTGTTGACGCTGTCGAAATGCGACGCCCCAACGCACGTCAAAAGGTGACGACAGTGCCGCGTTTCGTGACCACGACCCCCCCCCCAATCCCTGTGACTGTAGACGCTTTCGAGATGCGGAAACCCCACGCAAGCCCAAAAGCGCGCGAAAACCCAACGCGAGTCCAAAAGTGAGAGTTCCGCGTTTCGCGATCAAGACCCCCTCGATCCCAGTGATAGTTGGCACCTTAGAGACGCGAAGCCCCAACGCATGTCCAATAGTGACGACAGTTCGCGACCAGGACCCCCTGATCCTTATGAAAGTTGACAATCTTGAGACGCAAAGACCCAGCGCGAGTCCAAAGGTGACGACAGATCTTGCATTTCGCAAGCACGACCCCCCCGTTAAGTTTCAACGCAAAGACCTAACGCGAGTCCAAAAGCGACAATTCTGCGCTTCGCGACCAAGACATCCCGGATCCCTGTGACGGTTGACGCTTCTGAAACGCGAAAACCCAAGTCCAAAGACGACGACAGTTCAGCGTTTCGCGACCGGGACCCTCCCGATCCCTGTGACTGTGGATTTTTTTTTCAAACGCGAAGACCCAATGCGAGGCCAAAAGTGACGATGGTTTTGCGTTTCGCGACGATTTTCGGCCGCGGACGCTTGCGAAAACACGGCGAACGCTTGCGAACGTTCCGCACGGATTTCGCGTCAACTCCCAACCCCCAGACTCCTCCAACAGTGACAACAGCTCCGCAATTCGCGACCACGACCCCCCCCCGTGTGACTGTTGACATTTGTGAAACGCGAAAACACAACGCAAGTCCAAAAGTGTCGACAGTTCTGCACTTCGCGCCCAGGACCTCCATGTGACTGTTGACACTGTTGATACGCGAGGACCAAGCGCGCTTCCAAAAGTGACGACAGATTTCGCGACCCCCCCCCACCCCCCGATCCCTGTGACTGCGGACGTTTTTGAAACGCCAGGACCCAACGCAAGTCCAAAACTGACGATGTTTCGCGTCCAAGTATTGTTGCTTTTTGAATTGTGGCTACCGTTCCTGGCATTGTGCATGATGTTATGGTATGTGCTGATGTTGAGATGTGCCATACATGATGGCCCTGTAAACCCATTAAAACTGCAATAACCTACAACACTCCAACATACCCGAGTGCTGTGGCCATCACCTAAACAACTTTGAAAGCTATGTTCGCGGGTCGGCAGATTGGATGCTGACCCCTCATGCTGCGCCAGGAGCTCGCGCCTTAAAGCAATTCCAGCGCTGCTACAATTCCAATTCCAATGTACCGTTCCTTTTTGATCTGTGTCTACCAGTCTTGGCGTTGTGTATGATGGTATGGTAGTTGCTGATGTTAAGATGTGCCCATATACCCCAATTTTGTGGCCATCAGATCAACAACCTTGACAGCTATGCTCGCGGGTCAGCAGATTGGATGCCGACCCCTTATGCTGCACCAGGAGCTTGCGCCTCAGAGCAATTCCA